AGAATAAAAATATTCTCGTTAAAAGTAATTTAAGAAACAGAAAAAAACTTTTATTCTCATTTTAAAGTAATAAAAAACAAAAAAATTTTGTTTTTAAAAAATACAAAAACTTTAAATCTTGCCAAATACATCGCTACTTAAAAAACAAATGAAAGAAAGACGAAAACAGTGAAATTTGTCTCTATTTTTTCTGTGTATACACGTTTTTTATGTACTTTAAACAATAATATGATCATTAAATTTTTTTTTCTTTTTAGTTTGTTTATAATCTTCATGATAAGGCTTTTCATTTGCATATCAAACACATATATATATATAAACATATTTAGAGAGGATTTCACATTTATATAAAAATACTTAAATAAATTGTTATATTTTGGTTGCTAGTGGTGTTGTTTAGTTTATTCCGCTTTATAACAATTCACTAATAAATTTTTTCCTTATAGAATATTTCATAAAATATCCATATATGTGCAGGGTGTTTTGAGTTTCATAAATAATAAAAGCTTAAAGCAAGAAAATGAAAGGAAACGCAATTTGCGTATTTGCCTTACAGCGAAAATATATTGGGAATGGTAATTAGATATGTACGTTCTTTTCAGATATAAATGAAAACAACAGCTGGAGCATCATAACTTTAAATTTTGATATTGTGAATGCTTATTTAGAACTTTAGAATTTTATTATTTTTGAATGTGAATTTTTGAAAGTGAACGCTGGGAATGTTTGTGAATTATGACATTGTCAAATTTCATTAAAATCAAAATATCATAATTTGATATATACTTTGAAATAACGGTATTTTTGTCAGCCGTCATGTTATGTGAACGGCATTATCAAAAGATTATATATGTATCTCAATATTGGTTAGCAAATTTTTTATCCGTTAGTAATTGAAAGAATAATAATAATAAAAAAAAACTTAAAATTCTAAGTTAAAAACATTAAACAAATAAAGTAAATGAAATGAGCAAAATAGACGCTACAAAAGTTAGAATCGAATGCAGGAGAGTTAAAAGCACCACCCAGGACCTTAACAAGAAAACCCAATAGTAAACTAATAAATATTGAGGATTTTAATATTTTAAAATTTTTATGGAAACCTTGTACAGAGATGTATAAAATACATGTTTTTAATGTAAGTACCTATATACATACATATATGAGTCAGAGTGTGTACTGCAATAATGATTATTGTCGTATAGAATTTTTGCGAAAAAATTTTACCAACGTATTTATTTACTTAAATATGAAGATTTTATTGAAAATTTTATTTTTTGTTTTCCTTCATTTTTGAAGAAGAAGAAGGGATAAATGATTTTTTATACCAATATAATAATGTTATATTTATAATAATATCACGCAAAACGCGCAAATATTAATATTTGTGGTATATATGTACATAAATATAACAAATTCCTTCCACAAATATAACACATGCATACACAACAATGTCTACATATCTAGCTCTACATAATATTCAATATGCTATAGTATTTCAAAGTTTTTTTTTCACACGGGCAACAAAAACAAATAAGAAAATACATAATCTTCTTAACTTTGTGTTTTACACATGTTTTTTTATTCAAGGGATATAAAAAAGGAAAGTATTAAAGTGCCTATATGTTATAAGAACAAGAAATATTTTTCATGAATAATTTGACATAAATACCAAAACCTACATATATGTATATGTATCTATATACTTCCCCATACATACGTATGTATATAAGTCGATCGTGATTCGTGATACACAAGGCAGAATATTTTTGCAATAAAATTAAAATTTACGAATTATTATATTTTGTTTTCAAAATGATAATTACCTATAATAACATAATAAAACTCAAATATGGAAGATATACAACATACGAATTGTGAATATACTTTTCATGTGTGCACATTATGTAACATAAGCGCTTGTTGGTAAAGGTCTCTTACCAAACATAAAACATAATTTGAAAAAATTTTGTAATTAGACAGAAATTTTTTTAGAAAATTCCTATTCCTTATTATTGGATTGAAATTGGATATTGGGTTCATCCGTTGTGTTATATTTGGAAAATACAGAAAATTTGAATGTTATAATGGAATTGTTATGAAATAAAAATATTGAGGTCCGATAAGAGAATCATAACAGGAAAAAGCACAAGAATCTCCAGAGTAAAGGTAACTTAAAAAAAAAAATATGCTGATTATGCTAAAAAAATTATTAGTACGGCAGGTATTAGTGCCGGATTGGGAATATAAAGTGAAAATATTATTATGTACAACATTATGCCAAAAGTAACGCAATATGGACTGAAGTTTATGTCTGCTACATCATAGTTAGTACAAAGTTGGCAAAAAAACTATGTAAAGATTTAGTATTTTTTTAAGAAAGTTCCAATGAACAGCAATAATATTGGGGAGGGACTTTATTTTTATATACATATTTTATTTTATAAGATTAATTTTTCGTTATTTCATTTGGTCTTCATCTACAGGATATCCTACTTTTGCGTTATCTACCTTATAAACTTTATATGTATTTACTATCGGAATGAACAAGTCGTGAATATTACACAATATTGTTCCATTATAGAAAGTCATTTATGCGTCCTATTTAAAATTCTTATGTTCTCTTAATGATTCTCATTATTTATTTATTCTGAAAAAAAAATTCTAAAAGTATAGTAAATTGTATTTTTCGAATTTCTCTATTTTAAAATGTTCTTGTAAAATATTTTGTATAAAATTTATTTAAAAATAACATTTGCAATATCATAAAGAAAATATTTTGAATATTTTTTGCAGCAAAAGAAGGAATTTTTTACTTATTTTAGTGCAAATTTAAATATGTACACTTTGTGTATGTAATATAAAACAAGAATTTGGGAGGTAGGGAGGTAGCTACCTATAACAGTTATGATAGGTGGTGGAAAGTAATTTATATTTTATGGCAGCTTTGATCTAGTATTCTTGTAAACTTTAATTTTGTACAAGAGAAAGAGTTAACTAAAATAGATAATTATTATGTTTTATTTCGGTATTTTTATGTTATCTAGAATTTCTAAAACTGAAATTGTAAAGTATATAATTTTATATCTACATAATGTACTTTATATGGAATATTATAATGCAATAATTTAAAATATTGAGTTTAAATAGGAAAGGTTTAGCACTTGTAAATTTCAAATAAATATGCAATTTTGAAGTAAAACGGGAACATTCTCAATATTCAAACACGTTGTTATATTAGATAAGTGGGTTACAAGAAAAAATAATTTGTTTTTGTTTTTATTTTAAAATTTACAAAGTACTAAAAAAGGAACAATTTATAATTTCCTAAATAAAATTAAATTAAGATAATTTTTTCCTGATGAAATTGGTATCATTGTATTATGTACATGTATAACCAAATTTGCAATATTTTGTTGAATTAGAAATTTTAAAGTAGTCTTAGTGAAACTATTTTTACTATAAGAAGAAATTTTACTAGTGCATTTAATTCCATTTTAATGATTTTTGTTTCTAATTTCAAAAACTCCTAATCATATTCATATCAATAGAGTTAAATCATGGAACATTGTGTATGTGAAATGTGACTTTAATTTTTAGTATATTTTAAATTTTGTACCATAAATTTTAAATTTTTTATGTATTAAATTTTAAAACACGTACATTCTTCTTTTTTTAAATAAATCTTTATAAAATATAAAAATAAATATGAGTTAAAGAAACGTTCTAAGAATTTTTATATGTTTACTGTGTGGAAAAAGGTTACAAACATAATGGTGTAAGAAAGATTATTGAACCGTATTGAAAAATTTAACATGTGTATGTATGTAGCATGAGTGTGGTTTTTGCTTCAATGATTTTTTTACTTAAATGATTTTAAGAAATACAATTGACAAGATTATTTGAAATCATATTGTACATTTATCCTTTACTTTAAATAAGTGTGCGTGACATTGAGTGCCTTTCATTGATATTAAAGATTTATTGATTTAAAAAATTTATCACATGGAATTTGTAATGAAAAATTGATCTATTATTTTTGAAATTCAAGAAATTCAATTGATTAATTTTATTATATTTTAGGTTCGGCTATCAAAGAGAGCTCAAAATTCGAATTCATCACCACTCTATTTTATTTAACAATTAAAATTGCGTTGCAACATAAATCAAGTTGTCACTGGATCTACCATTTTAATATATAGTTACCTACAGTTTGTTTTACTAATTGTTTAAAATCAATTACAAATTAAGTTAAATTCCAAGAAATTTATTTAATTCTAGAAATTTCTAAATTTTTATTTAAATTCTTCTTATATGTACTAATTATGTATGTATATGAATTTGTCCAACTGTTTTAGAACAAAGTATTCAACTTTATTAATATTTAAATCAATAAAAATTAATATATTTTTTTATTTCGATTAACGTATTGATGACGTTAACAATATTGCGTGAATATTTTTTTTTCCTCCAAAGTCTATAATAAGTTTTTAAATGAAAAATCAATAATAATGGTGGTGTATCTGATTGACCTTAAGTAGAATAAAGTGACATTATAATATTAATATTATTATTGTGTTAATATTAAGATTAAGAAAAATTCGAGGGTCTGATGGAATACATACATATGTACAATATATTTGGCATTATTATAGGATCAATTTTTTTTTTGTATAAAAAATTCTATTTGAAAAAAGGGACAAATTAAAGAATTTGTGTTATTGTTAGTAATGGAAAATTCTCTATCCAACTTAGAAAATATTCTCTATCCAACATAGGAAATTGTATATTTTTGGTTATTTGTCCAAAATATTTAATAAAATTTGTTTTTCTTGCAGTTTTGACGATATTTGTTCTTGCAGTTTTGACGATCTTGCAGTTTTGACAATCGATTTGAAAATCTCAAAGTACTGGATGGAAAGTACCATAATTCTCTTGCAAGATCCTCGATAATGATTATAAATGGTAAAAATTTTCTTTAAATTTATTTTAAAACTTACCTGTTAGCGTTTCTTCACCACTATGTATCATTTTACTAGCTGCGTCATTAGCAGTTTTTAATGCACCATTACCAGCAGTTGAAATAAATGGTGAACTACTTGCGCATCCCATTTTTACATTTATCTTATAGCCTTAATAAATCGTTTTAATTATATAATTTTATATATTAAATTAAAAAGTTTCTTGCGGTTTCGTTTTTTCTTAGCGACAAAAATTACTAAAAAATTATTTTCTTTTATTTTTTAAATTTTTACACAATTCATAATAATTTTTTATCTTTTTGTTTTACTACAAAATAAAAGCCAATAAAAAGTCGCAGAATATTGTTATTTTTTTCAAATATAAAAGTTTGTCCACATATAAAAATCCGTTTCCCTTCGTCCTTTTTTTTTTACATTCTTATTGATTTTTTTCTATGATAAATCCACAAAACAAAATAATTTTTATGCAAAAAAACAGAAACAAGAAGAGGAGGCAAAAAGAAATATCCGCAATAAAATGTTAGCGCGATAGAAAATTTTTTGTTTTTGATATTTTCCAAATGGCAAAACTTTTCCTTTTTTCCTTATTTTCAAATAATAAAATAAAAAATTGTTAAGTTTTTGTCGGCTATTATTGTTTTTAGCTATTTTTACTTTTTTTTTTTTTTGCTGTCTTGCTTACTTTATATACGGATCGCTACCCGCTATTTTAATAATAACGTCTTTTATATTAAAAGTTCTCGCGTATACTGACCGACCAAATAAAGGACATTAAAATTACTTCTTACTCTATAGAGTGGAAAGAAAAAAAAAAAAAAAAACCGGTTAACTATTGGTAAAAAGGATACGAGTACAAGAATAAAAAATAAATAAAATAAAATAAAAGGAGAAAAAGAAGTTAAATTTAAAGCACAAGTCAATATACACTTAAAATAAGAAAAATATTTACCTTCGAACGTGTATTTACCTTTGTTATAACCAGTCGTATATTGTATGTATGCATGTATAGCATATGGACGCTCTGATTTCAATATTGTTCTTGTTTTCCCTTTTTTGTTTTTTTTTATTGTTGGTGTTACCTTTATAACTTTAAAAATTGCTTTCAATATTTTGTTTTGTTTGCTTTTTTGTAGTTTTCCATTTTCTTTATATGGTTACATTGCTTGCCTGCCATTATCCTTTTTCTGTACATGGCTGTTTGTATATGAAAGTCCATTATATTTTATTATTTTTATATCTATGTATGTATGGGTTTTAATATTAAATATATATTTATATTTAAAATTAAAAAATAACGGTAAGAGAAATTTTCAACGAAATTTTTTTTCCCTCATTAAAAATTCACTTTCATTCTTTTGTTATTATTATAATTCTATATACCTATAAGTAATTTATAAGGTAGTAAAACAGTGTTTCACAATAATATTGAAACAGTAAATATTGTATTTTTTTTGTTGTTGTTGTTGTTTACATTAAGTTATAATATGGAAGGAATTGTAAACATTTTTATTTTCTAGACAATTTTAAAATATAATGGGATTAGGAAAATTTTATTTTAAAATTATATAAATTGTTTGATTTGCAATAAAATAAATGTAGAATATACTCGAAATGGTTATACACGAAAGTTTAGATACAACTTGATTGGTTTAATAAATTTATGAAAGCTGTTTGCTCATTATATTTGTTTAAATTTTGCTTCTCCACTTTATATTTTAGCAAAAATGATTGAATTGTGTACTGTTGAATATAGGTAAACAATATTTTTATACGTAAACAGTTCTCAAATGACGATATACTTTTAAGAAAAAAATATTTTTATATAAAATGGTCTTGTTTGCAGCCCTTAACATTCATTTTATTTTTAGGTATTCTTGACTTTATATTTCTTCTAGCGGATAAATCAGACATTGAACATACTCAAGATAATCACCCAGGCGTTTTAAAATAGATCCAAAATTTGTTAAGTTTTGAACCGGCAAAATTTTACCTGTGCAATCAAAACCAAAACTAAAAGGAATATTTAATGGCATGTTAAATTTAAAGGAATACTTTCTGCAGATATTAAGCTCTCAAATTCTATTTTTATCCAAAGCTAGGAAATTAATGAACGAGGATTTATTTAAGTCATGACTTAAATTGTAAGTTTATATTAAGCATATGTTTAGTTTAAAAATATTGATTTGAATCATTTTTATTTACGTAATTTTTTAAATTTTGAAAATGTAATTACTAAGTGTCCAATAAGCAGCGTAATTTTTCCATAACACTATTGCGTGTACCACACATAGCAGAACCAGAGCCTTGAATAAGTCAAAGAACTCGTTCTTTTGATTTTTTTTTGTTTTAATATACTACTTTGAATACAAAAAGAGTGTTTGAATATTAGGAATCCAATAAAATCGTAATTATTTATTAAGAATTTTGTGCCTATACCTAAAAGTGCTATAAAGAAATATGAAACATTTTTCTAATAAAATTTTGTTTTATATTAATATGGTATATATAAAATCTATTACTTTTAATGTAGTATAATTAGTAGTAACAGAATTATAGAAAATTCTGTATAGGAAAGGGGATCAGATGAAGTTGAAACTGAAAATTATATTATGATTGATGGTAAACATGTACGTGGAGCAAATATTATTTTTATTCTTATAAGAACCTAGAATAATTTGAATATTTTGCTTGAATTAAGAAAAGTAAAATTCTTTATTCTACTTTAATATTTAGATTATATACAATATTAAATGTTCACCTGTATCATTTATACATATTATTAAAATCTTCACATAAGTTGCTTTAGGTGATTGTAAATCGGATGAATGTGTGGTATAATTTATTAACGGGGATCAATATCTTTTTTAATTTGAATAAATTATTGTACGCTTCTTGAAATTTCCGTACTAAGGTTAATAATTTGGAATCATAGTGATGTGACAACACTATAATTTTTTAAGAAATTTTGAATATTTATAATAAATGCGTTTGTAATATTAAATTTCAAGTTAAAGTACTCACTTTAAGGAGTGTTTTATTGTCATACAAACACTTCAATTTTAATTTAATAAAATAAGTACGTCCATACTATTTAATAAAAGAATAACATACTATTATGCTAAGTATAAAATTGGTTCTTGATCTACGTATAATTAAATGAATATAAAATTAACTCAATTTAAAAAATTCTTGATAATTCAATTGGTTTTAGTCAGGTATATGAAGTTCGATCTGAAATTTTTAAAACTTCCACTACAACCTGCATTTCGATTTGATTCGGAATGATTCTTGCAATATTCCCAAGTAATGGACCTCATAAAACAACTGTGTTCAACTTTGATTTTAAAACTATTTGGTTCCCAATTTTAATTTTAAATATAGGCTTCATTTTCATTTCTAATTCGGTTCTGATTCCGACTTCTATTACGACTGACGGAATATATAAAAATTTTGACAAATTGAAAATTTTAGAAAATTAAATCAATATTTAATCTAATAATTTATATCAAATAAGATTAATTAAATTAATCTTATTTTTAAATTTTGATTTAAATTATTATAATTTATTCATATAGAAATTTGATGCTGAATTTTTTGAATAACTTTCATATTAAATTGCTTCTCATTTCAATTCATTAAAGTAGCGCACAATCATACAAAACTGTATATACATTACTACTCTACGCTGTCCACATATGTTTAAAATAATAGGAAGTGCGTGATAGAATTAAGGACTTATTGCATTTTTCTACAATTTTAAATTTTAAATATGAACAAAGAGTCACTGATGTTAAAATTTCATGCAGTAATTATATGCACTATGCATGTTATATTCATGCAATCCTATTTTAATTTTAATATTCATTGATTAACTTTCAATAAATTTTAAATTATACAAATATAATTTATTCATTTCATTTTTTTTTAATTAAATTCACATAATATACTTAAATAGAAATCGATGAATAATTTTAGAGTAACCTAAAAATGTACTATACGTTTTTACATTATAATGCAAGTATTCATATATGTAGAACATAATTGTACATTCTTTATAAAAAAAAATCAATTGTACGAGTACATAAGCTTTGAAATTTTCCATACCCATGGTATGAATGGGTACGGATGATACATATTAAATGAAGTCCTTTAAAAGTTAAATGACATCGTAAATAAGAACATTGTATTTTATAGGTATTTGTTTTATATTTAAAGCATAAAATGTATAATTTAGCCTTAAATGTACGTATTTAAATATTTTGTTGGCTTGAGGCCAAAAAAAAACTTTTTTGTAAATGTAGAACATAGAAAGTTCAATATTTTTAAAAAATCAGAAAAAATTTAATGGTCTTATTTAAAATTAAATTTTTTATATATAATTTTAGATTACAAAAGATTATGAGTTTAAAAGATCTTTGAAAAGAAATAAATGACTTGGGTCAAATGTATGATAAAGCCCTATTTAACTGAAAAACACTGATATTTCAATTAACTATTTAAAAAACCGGATATTTTTGGGTTAAATCACATTTTGGGAATATCTGTCCAAAACGTGAAAATATTTTCTAATCAAATTCTCATCAAACCTAATATAAGTTCAACATAAATAATTTAGAGGTACTGTTCCGGCACCAATATAAGTTTAATATACATAATTTGCAGGTACTGTTTGGGCGCCAGTTTTTCCATCGTGAAGTGTGTAAAATAAAACTGAATCGATGTAAATTAGACAAATTTAACAAAAAATGCGTGAAGTGTAAAAAATAGAAACCACTAAAACCTAAAGAGCAAACAAATTAACTGCTACATGCACAGTTGTTTTATGAGGCTCATTATTTGGGAATATTGCAACAACCTCAACCGATATACGGTTGTTTTGTAGTATTAAGGCCCGAAATACGAGCACATTGTTTTTTATAGTAGGTGTTTAAATTTCGGGTATCGGGACAGGGTAGGCATAGACATATTTTTCGGGTAGGCGCTACAAAAAGATGGTGTTGCTATATTTACTCTTTTTACATGATTAAAATAAATTTTACAATGATACTTGAATCACTTTATCTAATGTTACGAGTAAACCAATTTTTATATGTCGTTTATACACAGTTTAAATAAAGATATTAAAATAATTTTCCTTTTCTCTTATTTCCCTTATATATATGTTCGTACTTTTTGTATATCTCATAGTACAACTATGTGATGCGGTTTTCAATTTCCTTGATGACGACAAAATTTTT